ACCCTTTATTGTTAATATATTATTATTTGTTTGTACTCATATACATTGGTCCTTGTTTCTTTAAATATTTTAGGTGAACTCAGACACTGCGTCTGCCATGTTGTTTGTGGACATATCAGGAGACACACTTGTTTATCTCTCAACGCGTACACTGTCCTGCAATAGTAATTGTATTTTATAATATAATAATAATTAATATTTATAATATTGTTATAGTAAGAAGAGCGATATATATTAATGGAATATTTAGTATTTGTGAACGTGTCAAGCACTTCCTGCTGGTGTTAACATTAAATAATCAATGTTGGTTGTCAAGACACGTGACTTCTTCCACACTAGAATGATTATCCTAAAATACTTTTCTTACCGCTACAATAAACCGCTTAATCTTACGAAGTTTCTCGCAAGAAAATGAATAAAGACAAGAATTAAAAGACGGAACTTTGATAGAGGCGCTATTATGCTGGTTAATTGGGAAGAGCTGATCGGAATCTAGAAAAGGCGTTTCGATTCTTGTAATTCCTTGAAAAGTCTGTAAAGCATACGTTGTCACTAGCAACGGTTGAAAGGAATTCGGACGACGTAAGCTGAGTTTTGTTTCAAAGGTTAAAAGTTCATTTGTATTGCGCACGGGCTGTCGACACAAAAAGACGAGAAAAATTTAGTTAAACCTGTATGGTTGCCATGTTTGCTTCTCCCTTTTCGCTTCATTCTACCCCTTTTATACCATTTCTCTCTCTTTCTTTCCAACCACTTATTTCTGCATATATATATATATATATATTCTAAAAATGTTCAGTTATCTGTTTTGGATAAGACTTGTTTTTATGTCCATCGTCTTTGTCAAATTGAACTGAATTGTATTTTAATGAATATTGTCCTGAAGAAGGTTTATTAAACCGAAACGTCAGACGTCGACATTTCATTTATTTTAAACAACATAATTGCATTTAAGAATTTTCCAAATTTTTCTTCATTCTGTCGGATCTATATCCATTTACATTTGCTTACACACACACACACACACACACACACACACACATATATATATATATATATATATATATATATATATATATATATATATAAAAGATTAGGGAAAATAGACGCGCAACTGCTTTAAATATACAGAAACATATATACATGCTCACAGACAATTTAAATTTAACCTCTGAAGATGCTCTCAGATGAGATTGAAAGTAATTTGGAAAATAAAACCTATTCGAAAGAAGTTGGTATTTTTCTTAATCAATTTTACAAGGTTAGTAAAAAAGTTAATCACAACGGGTCACAACGAAAACTAATCGTCATGTGTCTAAATTATTTAAACAAACCTGTCTGAATTAAAAATATGCAGTTTATATATATATATATATATATATATATATATATACACATATATCGAACACATGAAAAATTAAATAAAACGCTTAACCGTATTACCTTGTCTGGCATTTTAATGAAAACTGCATAAACGAAGGATTGCTGCCTAAATATATATATATATATATATATATATATATATATATATATATATATATATATAGTTTTATGTTATGGTATAAGCACAACTCCTTGGAGTGTTTAAATCATCATTTTTTTAAACAGGACCTCCACTTACAGAAAATGCAATAAAAACTAAGACATTATTTTATCAAAAAAGTTTTTAATTGCCTTTATGAATAAGATATTTTATGAACACTATTCTCTATGGAAAAAAAAAATTGATGAGTAATGAATTTTTACAAGAATTGTTTTCATTTTTTTAAAATTTTATTAATAATTTATAAAGTTTTAAATCTTTTAAATTCTGTATTAATTTGGAGCAATTCTGGGGTTGGTTTCAAAATTTTGAAATGTCGTGTAGCTATTTTACATATCAAATGTTAAAAATGCCATATTCCTTGTTCCACAATTTCAGACCGTCATAGCTAAAACTTGCCATGCGACGTTCACAGAGTCGACGCAGCCTCATTCCCTTTGTATACTACTGGTAAAAAGAAGTTCCAGTTAGCTTCTTCTCCAGAACAATTATTTTGAGAAACAGACGACGAGAGGGTGCTTCCCAGAATGAAACAATTTTAACCTCTTCAAATCTCAGTTCATCAGTTAGCTATCCTATGCACCTTTTAAGTAAAAATCTACATTGAAAGGCTCTTGGGCCTTATATTAGATGAACAAAAATATATAAAAACTCTCCTGGGTTACCTGGGCTATTGATGGAGGAGCAGAATTTTGATCGTTCTGCATCTCCTAATTTAGGGGTTGATCTCAGTGACAGATAGGGCGTTGATACCCCGCGGGAGAAAAGTGGACAGTATTACATGGACCTTGATATTAACAATCCATAGGTCCAGAAATTGAACATAGAATAGGCTGTATTAAATGTAGTTTCGCGCCAAATTTCAAGTGGTTACAGAACCAAAACATTAACTTAATAACTGGAATCATATTCTCGTAGATATAAACTTTCATATGGATGCCCTGAATGATGCTAAACCCGTTCAAAAATACCTGAAGTGTCAGCTCTGTACAATCTTTTTCTAGGATCTTTGGTTACAAATAACTTTGAGTGGGTGAAGTCAGAGGGTGATGGTGAAGTGCATTCATCTTGGAACATTGTGAGCTGGCGCTACATCATCACAAACAAAGGAGTCTACCAAATAATAAACAAAAAACACATCACTTAAAGACTTCCAACAGCAGCAACAAGTAAAATGGATAGCACATGTAACTTGACGAGAAAATAATGATATAATCAAGATGTTGCCGTTCCACACGGCTTCAAATAAAAGGTGAGGAAGGAAACACCCATCCAGTAGTGGAAAGAGCGATAATATTTAATGGACTTAGAAAACTATTTTTCTAAAATTGATTAAGAGAGAGGTTTTTTATAAATTTTAACCGAAAATAAGACACTGGCTACTCAGTCGATAAGTGACAAAAGTTTTCAAAAAGAAAAACGGCTAATATTACATTCCTTGAAAGATCTTTCTTTGTTTTTCTTCTTTTTGTTTCCGTCTCTCTTTCTCTGTTTTGTTCTACTTTGCTTTCTTTCTATTTTTCCTGTTTTTCTATGATTCTCTCTTTCTTTCTTTTTCTTCTTTTCTTTCTTTCTTTCATTTTCTTGCGTTTCTATCATTCTCTCTTTCTTTTTTCTGCTTTTTCTTTCATTCTTTCTTTTTTCTTGCTTTTCTATCTACTCTCTTTCTCTCTTTTTATTCTTTCCTTTCGCTCTTACTTCCTTTGTCCCTTCCTTTTTTTCCTTGCTTCCTTTCTTTTTTCAAAAGTTTTTTCATTCTGTTTAAACATTTCTTAAATTATCAACCATATCATATTTTTTTCTTTTTCTCGTTAAAAAATATGTTTCTTTCTTTATCGAACGCATTCCTCAGCACCTAAGAAACTGAGGTACCTTGAAGTACCCGAGCGGTGGATAACACCTTCACCAGACGTATAAGTTGACAATTGGACACGTTTCAAGTTCAGAAGGGCATAAAATGGATCAAGATCGATTAAGAATAGAGTTACCCTGAAATACCCGAGCGGTGGATAATACCTCCACCTGACGTATGTTGACAATTGAACTCGTTTCAAGTTTAGAAGGGCATAAAGTGAATCAAGATCGATTAAGAATAGAGGTACCTTGAAGTACCCGAGCGGTGGATAACACCTCCACCAGACGTATAAGTTGACAATTGGACTCGTTTCAAGTTCAGAAGGGCATAAAATGGATCAATATCGATTAAGAATAGAGGTACCCTGAAATACCCGAGCGGTGGATAACACCTTCACCAGACGTATATGTTGACAATTGTACTCGTTTCAAGTTCAGAAGGGCATAAAATGAATCAAGATCGATTAAGAATAGAGGTACCCTGAAGTACCCGAGCGGTGGATCACACCTCCACCTGACGTATGTTGACAATTGAACTCGTTTCAAGTTCAGAAGGGCATAAAATGAATCAAGATCGATTAAGAATAGAGGTACCTTGAAGTACCCGAGCGGTGGATAACACCTCCGCCAGACGGATAAGTTGACAATTGGACTCGTTTCAAGTTCAGAAGGACACAAAATGAATCAAGATCGACTAAGAACAGGGACACTTTGTAGTATCCATGCGGTGGCTAAAACATCTACTAGACGTATGAGATGACAATTGGACTCGTTTCAAATTCAGATGGGCGCAAAATGAATCAAGATCGACTATGAACAGAGGCACCGTGAGTTACCCAAGCGTTGACGAAAACCTCTACCAAACGTATGAGTTGCCAAGTAGTCCCGTTTCAAGATCAGAAAGGCATAAAAAGAATCCAAATCGACGTATAAACACGTCTGTAGCTAGTTTTGAACGTTATGTTTTCGACGTCTGAAAAAGTCACGTTCGGTAAAAACTTGCGTACATGTCTATGCTGGAGTATGTGTGTGTGTGGCGGAGGTTAAGATTCTTTCGTTTTTTTTCTTTTTTTTTTAGAAGAATTATTTTGAAAATCTTTCCGTTTTTTCTTCTTTCTTTCCTTATTTTAAGAATATTTTTTTCCACAATATTTTCACAAATTCTGTCTTTCTTTTCGTCATTATTTTTATATTTATTCATTTTAAAAAATACCTTTTCTATCTTTGAATAAAATTTCCTTCATTTTTTCAAGGGTATTTCTTCTTTTTTTTTACTTTACAGAAACATTCAAAGAATTAATTTCATTTGGCCTTTTTTTTTCTTTGAGATTTCCTTGATTTCGATTTTCTTTTTGCGTTCTTAGAGTCTCTTCCGCCACCCACGATCCTGTGTCCAAATGAGAAATTTATCATGAAACAATGAAAACAGTTTTGTATAAAATGTCTGGGCGTTGGACGTCGTCGTCTGGGTGGGGCACTGGCTGGGGCAATATTAGGTGTGACGTTGACCAGATGCTTGGGCGACCGAGAGGCCAAGATTCTGACTGACGCCGGCCGCAGCGATGGGAGGGGGGGCGCTCACGTCGGGAAGCATTTGTTGGTGCTATTGCTCTGGGTGCGGATGGCTGGTGAATGAGCAGGCATATGGGGGGTCGGGAATGAGGTGGGGGTGAACGAAATCTGTGTCAGAGGAATGGATGTCAGGAAGAGAGAAATTAACAATAAAGACTTCAGTCGGAGAAAGAACGAAAGAAGAAATAATTAAATGGAAAGAAAAGAAAGAAAGAAAGAAAGAAAGAAAGAAAGAAAGAAAGAAAGAAAGAAAGAAAGGAAAGAAAGAAAGGAAAGAAAAATTATGAGGCATGTAAGAAAGAGAGAAAAAATAAAGAAAGTATGAATTAGGATTGTAAGAAAGAAAGAAAGAAAGAAAGAAAGAAAGAAAGAAAGAAAGAAAATGAGCAAATAAAAGAAAGAAAAACTAGGCTATAAAAAGATAGACACAACAGAAAGAATAGCATAGAGAAGAAAGAAAGAAAGAAAGAAACTAGGCATAAGAAAGAAAGAAAGAGAGTAGGCATTAAAAAGAAAGAAAGAAAGAAAGAAAAAAGAAAGAAAGACAGTAGGCATAAGAAATAAAGAAAGACAGAAAGAAAGAGAATAGGCATAAGAAAGAAAGAAAGAAAGAAAGAAAGAAAGAAAGAAAGAGAGTAGGCATAAGAAAGAAAGAAAGTGGACAAAAGAAAAAAGGAAAGAAAAAATGAAAGAAAGAAAGAAAATAGGCATAAGAAAGGAAGAAAGAAAGAAAGAAAGAGAAGAAAGAAAGAAAGCACAGGCTATAAAGAGATAGAAACAAAGAAGACAGTAGAAAGAAAGAAAGAAAGAAAGAAAGAAAGAAAGAAAGAAAAAAGAAAGTAAAAAAGAAAGCATAAATTATTTAAAAAGGAAAAGAAAGAGAGAAAAGAAAGTAAGTATTAGTATTAAAAGAAAGAAAGAAAGAAAGATAGAAAGAAAGAAAGTGGCCATAAGAGAAGGAAGAAAGACGAAATAAAATAAGAAATATTGCTTCTGAAAATTTGTTCCGTGATATTGTTTCATGCCCAAAAGAAATGCTGCCTGCCTTGAAAATAGCACAATAAAGAAAAAGGGTTCACTTAAAAAAAAACGAAAAACGAAACATTTAGTTGGTCTCGAACCCAGTAATGAAACATTTGTACTTTTGTTACACGAATGATATACTTGTGTGCGTGCGCGCGCATTTTCTTTGTGTGTGTGTGTGTGAGAGAGAGAGAGAGATAGATAGAGAGAGAGAGAGAAAGAGAGAGAGAGAGCCTGTGTATATATGTATGTATGTATGTATGTCAGGTTATCAGAGACTATACTGGTTCCCCCACCAGGTTTTTTTTCTGCAGATGGGTCTTGCTAGATTCTAAGAAAACCCTGTCAAATTGCGAATCAACCATCTTGTTGCAAGCTTAACGGCCATATTGCACAATCTCTGATGGAACACCAGCGGTTCACTCGCAAAAGACGATGTAAAAATTGCTCTTCTTTTCGAATTATGTTTTTAATGCCCCGATTGGGTTTTTGCCCTTTTCTTACCATCAAAAAATGTCATGCGCCGGCATAGCTATATATTGTAATGTCTTGATGATGCTGTGGCGGGCTGTAGCCTCAAGGGTCAATCCACTCAATGATGCCTAACAGCGTGATTGATACTAATCGCCATACTCTGGAACTGTTCCAGATAATTTACTGGATGCAGCAGTAATTGCGACGCATGCGCGTAGGACTTGTTGCAAATCACGTGAGTCATTGGCTAAGCCAAAAACGCACATTCGTTCGTAAAACCATTAAAAAACGTTTTGATTACTATCGTCCGATGACCACGCTAGATCAGGAGCGGGGACAATGCACGCCTGTGTGCGTGTGTGTGTGTGTGTGTGTAGTGTTTGGAAACAAGAGCCAGAATAAACACGGATTGGATGCAGCAAAAGAGGTATTTTTCTTTCTAATTGCATTTTGCTTTGTAGGACTTATATAATTTCTAGGTTAGCTGAGAACCTTATAAAAAGTGTCTATCCCATTCTCTTAGAAAATTATTCTGGTAGGCATTTCAATATTGCCGTCACATATGGTGCTCCTGCTATATATCTAGAGATTCTTGATAAAATCCCAAAAGAATGTTATGCAATGTTATTGGTCCTGACCTGGCATCTCGACTCATTACCACCACCATAAGTTAGTTTCCTGTGTATTTTCTATAAATGTTTTCAAGGTAATTGTTCTGATGAACTTTCCTCTATGGTAAATATTCATTGGGGTTTAATTTTCAAATGCTGTTATTTTTATATATCCCAAGCCGCCCAAGACATATTGTAAATACGAGGACCCGTTAAGACTACATAGAGACTATGAGGTATTATGGTGACTGCATAAGAATAGCAAGTAAGAATGTGGTGTTTTGGTGCAAGGAATACTGTGTTAAATTTGGGTTAGTAATTTTGGCTAGTTTCCAATAATACAGATTGAAGATCAGACTTTACTCTACCCCAATCTTTTTGGCCTTGTACCACATTTTTGTAATTTTCAAAATAAATATCATTTTCCTATACGGTACATTATGAGTTTAATTTCAGTACTCGATTGGCGGCAAGGTCTCATCATTTTACAGTTGAAATGGTTAGATGTAGCTGTAAGTTTATTCTCTCGCACTTTTCCCTTGTGGGACCCTCTTCAGGCTTCTTACTTTCCAGTTAACTCTGATTTTCAAAAGTTTCAATGCAATGTTAATCGTTATCTACCGTTTTCTTCAGTCATGTTCTTTTATTGTCCTGTCTTCATAATAGTACTGTCTCGTATACTCTAACACTCAATAATCCTCTTACCTTGGTGGTTTTATTTCCTTACTTGGGATGTAACGATGGATATATATATATATATATATATATATATATATATATATATATATATATATATATGTATATATAAGCATCCATGAGAAAACTATATATTTCTAAGTTTATAAAAAATAAAAAATTACTGAATCAGAGAAATGAAATAGCTATTTTTTGCCGTCATTGTCAAAAATTTTCATTAAATAATATTTAAAAATAAAATTTAAAACTAAAATTTAAAAAAATGAGAGCTGGTAATATACATACTTATATTTGATATGAAAAAGTAATTTTAAATAATTTAAGTAGATATATTACATTTACTTGTTTTAAAAAGGAATATAGTCTATTTAGTAATTAAGAGTAAAAATATTTTTAAATTGTAGTTGAATAAAACGTATTCTAAATCAAACACCCCCAAGAAAGAATCTTTAAGTATACAAGTACAAAAAAATGCCGAAAAACTTTTTGCCGTTAATAAAAACAAAAAACAGACGACATGCATTTAACGGATGTCAGAATTCGTTGAAAAATAAACCCCTTCCCTCCCTAAACTTAACCTCTTTATCGAACGTAACTCATAATTGATACAACAATAGTTAATAAAAATGAACACGCTACCGCCCCTGTCTGAATGACTGGATTTCTCTGTATTCATGGAAACAGGAAATTATGAATTTATATGTGCGTTTAAAACTCAGTAAATTTAAAAATAAGTTATTCCAAAATTCGCTTGAAGATGAAACGGAACTAATGCTTTTAATTTAATTATATAATTAAATTTGAAGTTTTTAGCTTTAGTTTTTGAAACCTGGTTATTACTGTGTAGCGAAATAAAACATAATTTAAATCAGTTAATATATATATATATATATATGATTAAATAAATTATAAAAATTATGTCTGGATATTTTTAGCATAATCCTTTCATATTCACGGATATTTTTCTGTATATTTCAATCAAATGATGCAAGAAATGCACTGTAACAATGAAAATCACTTTTATTACTTAAGTACTTTCCATCTCTTTCTAAGATCATCATCAGGAGTACACCTAGTAAGGCAAAATCTATGTGTAACTATCCATTACTGATTTTTTCTTGTTGCGTTTAAATGTAACGGTTGATAATCTTTTTTAGCGTTCATTATAACGTGAAAAAACTATCCACTATGGAATTTTTTCTTTCATGCTGAAATGTCACGGTTGAGCGTGAAAACTGTTTTTTTATAGGCATTTTAGAACATAATTACAGTAATCGTGGCTGATTCTATGTAATGAATAGCGGCTCGGATTGAGGAATCGTGATTCCAGTTGAAAATATATATATATATATATATATATATATATATATATATATATATATATATAGTAATTTTATGAAACAACAAAAATTTTGACTTCAATGCATACTTTTATATTTACATACACCAGTAGAATCATGGATAGCGTCTCGGATGGCAGAAAACAAAAAGATCACGGTCTTTGAACGGCGAATGATATCCAACAGGAAAAATGTTCGGGTTTCGAATTCCTTCCGTTTCAAATAAAAAAAAAAGTTGTGTGTCTTTAATAAAATGTCCAATAATAAAATGATTTTTATTTCTAAACGTCCTGAATTGCTGTAAAAAGTGTAGGGTTAGGGTTAAGATAATTTAAAATCCAAAGAACAAATTCTTACTTTTTCATTACCAACGACAAAATAAAAAGATGTTTTCCAGAATTATTAAAATATATTTGTGAAAAAGTTTCATTTTAGAAAAAGAAAACAAAATAAATGTAAATTAATAAAAAACAAGAATGTTTATTAAACCAAAACTTGTGTCCTAGTCCTTTGTTTTTTTCTACAATGTAAATCATTTTTAATTTACCTGAATTTAATATAATTCGTTCCTGATCCTTCAAAATTGATTTGGCTCATACTTTATCTTCTTAGATATCCTATTCTGGCAGTTGAACGAAAATGTGTCTGATATGGTGTTTACTCGACATTTTTCCTAAATTACAGCAAATTTAGGTCATTTCGCCATGGGTGTGCGGTATTTCTATTTTTCTCAGATTATGAATCATTTTTCGTGTGCATGATGGAATCTATTTTCGCGGTGCATGATGGCATTTGTTTGGCCTTGAAAAATATTGCGTCCACCGTGATTGCATCAGATTTTCATCCCACCCAGACACTATAATCTCAAGTGTCGATTAGTTGTCTTACGGCCATTGTCTGAGATGGACGTTACTCTAAGGAAGCGTTAGAAAATTATAAAGCTTCACGAACCCACTGGCAAGCCTTAACAGTGAGCAAATCAAAGTACTATAGACTGGTTCAGAAACTCTCCCGATTTAAATCCAATCAAGAATCTGTGGTCAATCTGCAAAGAACTACTTTGTGGAATGGACATACGAAGTACGAATATGTTGACTGGGTGATGTTTCATTGGAAAAATAATAAAAAAGAGTAAATAATAACGGAATTATTAGTTTTATTTCAGTATCATGGCCCTCCACATCTTCCTGGATAATTAATTTGCAAAAGGGTGTATGTGTTCTCAAGATTTTCGTCGATATTTTCGTCTTTTGCACTTATTAAGTCTTTAATTTACCTGAATTTAAAAGAAAAATCTTCCTGAACCTCCAAAATTGATTCGGCTCATTTTCGATCCTCTTAGATATCATACTCGGGCTATTAAACGAAAATATGTCTCATATGCTGTTGACTGGACAACATAGAGAGTAAGGTTTTGAAATTTTCATTAACTAAATTACATCCTTGTGCAAATTAATTGAAAAAAAAAAAAACGCTTTAGTTTGCTTTCTTTCCCGATACGTTTAGGGTGTACTTGATTTCTATTTTTTCCTCAGCAGTCGTGTGCAGTAATATGAATCTGTTTTCAGAATGTATGATGACAATTGTATGGCATTAAAAATATTGCGTCCTACGTGACTGCATCAGATTTTCATCACGCCCAGACACTATTGTCTCGACTGTCGATTAGCTGTCCTACGGACATTGTGTGCGATGGACATTACTCCAAGGAAAGATACGAAAATTGTAACGCTGCTCAAACACACTGGCATGTCTTACCTGTGAGCAAACCAAACTACTATAGACTGGCCAGGAAATTCTCTGATTTAAATCTATCCAATCGAGAATCTGTGGTCAGTCTGCAAGGAACGACTTCGTGGAATGGACATACGAGGTACTAACATATGCAATGGGTTATGTTTTAATGGAAAATACGAAAAAAAAAACAGTAAATAATTATTCGTTTTGTTCCAATTAATTTCCACGAGGGTGTACTTTATATTGACAATATAAAGATGTAATAATTTTAACTCGAAATTTATTTATAATTAAAAGCAGTAATTCTAGGGTCATTTGTTACAGAACGTGGGCTGAGTGAAGGTACATTGCTGGAATGTGTTTATGAAATCGATTGATCTTAATCGAATCACGTATGTATGTACAACATACAATAGCTTCTTTTCGATTTCAGTCATGACTAATTTCTTACGTTTAAGAAAGTGCCTGCAAGTCAGAAGAATTTGCTCTGTTGTCCACCCTCTTATATGGCAGTGGATGCTGGACAATCTTCACATGGCACATTGGGGGTAAGGAAGATAGGGGAAGACAGCGAGCCACTTATGTGGATGAAAGAAGCAACGGGTGCGTGAGAGAACTGCTACGAGCGAAACTAGACAGAAAGCTGTGGAAAGCCATGATCGTCTATGCCCTGAAGGGACATGGTACATGTAATAATAATAATAATAATAATATTAATATATGGCATTGTATGCTGGACAAACTCTCTACGGATGAGGAAAAATCAAGAGGCAACAGAAATGTGGTTCTACAGAAGGATACTGAGAATACCATGTAAGGAGTGAGTGAGCAACAAGAAAATCTTAAGAAAATGGCGACAGAAACAACACAAATACTCAAAATCAGAAAACAAAATGCTGAAATTCCTTGGGCAGAAAACGAAGAAGGAGGGTTTGCAAAAATTGACCTTCGGGGGGGCATATTGTGGTCAAGAGAGATAAAGGGGTGTAGTCTGACGCGTTAGTGGGAATGGATGGCAGAACGAGGGGCGAGAGCTTTAGTAAAGGGTGAGATAGGAAATTGTGGAGAGTGATATCGCCTATGTCCTCAAGGATAACATGACACAGTGGATAAAGGCGTTGGTTAGATCCAGTGACAGGACCCAAAGAGTGTGAGTTCAATACCCAGTTAAGGCAGTGGAGAACTTGGAGAAGGGAATTAACAGGAGATAACTGATAAATGACATCCATTAAACATGGCACGTGGAACGAGAACAGTCTACCCCAATGAGTGAAATAAAGGGTTCAGTTCGACGTTCCAACCAACTGAAGAAGGCCGGAGCGTGCAACAGCCGAATCGTAGCAATAAATATGGCAACAAAGATAAGGACAATAGTCCGAATAATGTAAATAGTGTACATAATACCTCATCTCAGAAATATAGACAGATACTGAAGGGTGGTAAATATGGCAACAAAGATGAGGACAATAGTCCGAATAATGTAAATAGTGTACATAATACCTCATCTCAGAAATATAGACAGATACTGAAGGGTGGTAAATATAGCAACAAAGATGAGGACAATAGTCCGAATAATGTAAATAGTGTACATAATACCTCATCTCAGAAATATAGACAGATACTGAAGGGTGATAAATATGGCGACAAAGATGAGGACAATAGTCCGAATAATGTAAATAGTGTACATAATACCTCATCTCATAAATATAGACAGATACTGAAGGGTGATAAATATGGCAACAAAGATGAGGACAATAGTCCGAATAATGTAAATAGTGTACATAATACCTCATCTCAGAAATATAGACAGATACTGAATGGTGATAAATATGGCGACAAAGATGAGCACAATAGTCCGAATAATGTAAATAGTGTACATAATACCTCATCTCAGAAATATAGACAGATACTGAAGGGTGATAAATATGGCAACAAAGATGAGGACAATAGTCCGAATAATGTAAATAGTGTACATAATACCTCATCTTAGAAATATAGGCAGATACTGAAGGGTGATAAATATGGCAACAAAGATGAGGACAATAGTCCGAATAATGTAAATAGTGTACATAATACCTATTCTCAGAAATATAGACAGATACTGAAAGGCCGAAACGTTGTAATAAATATGGCGACAATGATGAGGACAATAGTCCAAATAATGTAAAGTGTACATAATACCTCATCTCAAAAATATAAACATATCATGGGGTTTAAATTTGTACGATATAACATCAAATGCCATAATCCAATATCAATCATGCTACACATGACTAATAATGGCTTCAGTTAAAGACTTTTAATTCGGTCCTTCACCCCAGCGAGAATAACCCAGTGTTGTCTAAGTATTTATCTCATAGCTACTGTTTAACCCATACATACAGACACATATACATAATGACAGCTGTTGTCTTGTTATTCGCGTCTAACTGTAACACTTTGAATTTACTCATGTTAAAAATTCCCCTACAAAGGCTGGGTCTCATGCAACTTACACCGTATGACAAAGACTCCCTAAAAAAATAACTGGGAAAAAACACCTCTATGGGTTATTTAATGCCAGATATAAATGAGCAGACTGTGATAGATAGATAGATAGATAGATAAGAAACATACTGAAAGAGACAGATAGATAATAAACAGACTTAGTGTTATATACCGTACCTATGAACACTAATGTGCATGTCCCAATCCTCATAAATTCGTTGGGCACTGTTGTAAGTGGGGGTAATATGCTAAGTAGTCAACCACTAGCAGTGGTGTACCTACATTACGTCGCTGGCGAGTATTGTATTTTCTTGATGTTATAAAGATTACCACTTCATTTCCAACCTCCGTTTTGGTTATTTCTCATTCAGTAACCCTTTCCAGCTTACAACAATTATTATTATTATTATTATTATTATTATTATTATTATTATTATTTCCTGATTCCTGGTGTATACGAATTTCTTTCCGGATCCCAACCAGAGACATAAGGTCAAAAATGGCTTCATGACATTTTCCACTGAGCATTTTTTGAGAAAAAAAATCCCCTAAGATCACACACATTTTACTATTTTTATTCTTTAAGGTTTGGGCTAACAGGAATCCCTTCAATGAGTCTATTGGAAACTTTTTTTATTATGATTATTTGATCTGGTATCCTTTCGATCTCTTAGGTGTTTCGGCCGAGTGGTGACAGTTATATATGTCTCAATCCTCATAAATACACTATTGTAAATGGGGATAATATGCTGTGTAAGTAGTCCACCACTAGCAGTGGTTTACCTACTTCAAGGCGCTGGCGAGTATTGTATTTTGTTGATGTTATAAAGATAACCATTTCATTTCCAACCTCTGTTTTGGTTATTCATCATTCAGTAACCCTTTCTACATTACAACAATACCTCTATGCGTTATTTAATTCCAAAATCTAAATATTTTCAATACAATTCTATGCCCTCAACTACAGATATAGTGGCCATTTTACTATAAAATAAATTGTTGTTGATTGTTTTAAATATAAAGAATGTTTTACTGGTTTTTTACTATTAAAATGTATTTTTATTCTTTCAATAGCGTTTTGTTTGGGGTTTCAATATTTAACCTTAACTGGGAACCTAACCGGTGCTACCACGCCGGCTCAAAGTGGATCTGGGGTCAGCAAATAAGAAGTGGTCCTCGGTTTCTCAAAACCTCTAATCTCCCGGTCAGAGGTCTTCCTTCCGGATATAGTTTATCACATACTCAGGACTGTAAGATATTTACATTTTGATTTTTACAGTAATGGTCACCCGGTAGAACGCTGAGGGATCACAAAGTTACAACCAAAGTGGCAGGTTTTATACGGATATGTGGGGAAGAAAATTGTTAACCTGCATATATATATATATATATATATATATATATATATATATATATATGTGTGTGTGTGTGTGTGTGTGTGTGTGTGTGTGTGTGTGTGTGTATTCTTGGCTCATAGATACCCGCATGTGAGCGTGCGTTCATGTATGTGAGTGATTTGATCATTGTATTTGGTCACCTTGTGTGCATGTTGTGTGCTTTTGCGTGTGGGGTTATGACCTATTTAGTTTAGTTCGTGTTTAAATTTGTTTATAAAGTTTTTTTTCTTGTATTTGTAGGTACGAATAATCCTCTGTTTGATATATCGGCATGATATTAAATTTAACCTGGTGTCATTTGAAGATGTGTTGTAATACAAAAAGTTTTCTGTTGTCTGGCAAGTTTATATTGCTTTTTGTGTAGGGAGACCCCGTTGTTCAGTTGTTGGCTGATGCCTATATATGACTTCTTACATTTGTGCATTTAAGTACATAAATTACATTTTTGGAGTTGCAGTTTAAGTTTTTATTTATTATGAATGTTTTTGGGGGTTTTCAAAAATGTAGGAGTTTCCTTCTATAATGATGTCACAAACCCCACATCTTTTTTTGTTGCATTTTGTGACTCCCTATATTGTGTGTTGGTTAAATTTAGATGTGAAGACATATATGAATATACAACAAAAACAATCCAGAAATATTCACAGAAATTACAAAAAATCTGGATCAACTTAGCAAGAATAATAAACTGAATAATATACTAAAAACATCCAAAATAATTAAAAGAAAACGCCAATCAAAAAACCTAAAACACATACTGACATAGAGAGAGAGAGAGAGAGAGAGAGAGAGAGAGAGAGATGTACAGAATTAGATAGAAATTAACAGAGGAGATAGATAGATAGATAGATAGATAGATAGATAGATAGATATGAAATGACTGATATATATATATATATATATATATATATATATATATATATATATATATAGAGAGAGAGAGAGAGAGAGAGAGAGAGTGTGTGTGTGTGTGTGTGTGAAAAAACTAAGGCAGGTGCCAATATATCTTTAGCTTTTTTTTCGATGTAAAATAAAAAAAAAAAGCTTGTATTTAGTCCCACGTGTATAATCAAAATTTTAGAAATCTGATAGGACCATGCAATTTTTAACAAGCTCAATTCAATTTTAAAACAATTAATTCAGTGGTCACAATTAATTCCATATACAGAAAACATCATAATAATCAGGTGTCGCTTTATGGAATTATTGAGTCTCTCTCTCTCTCTCTTTCTCTCTCTCTCTCTCTCTATATATATATATATATATATAGAGAGAGAGATTATGTGAACAGACTGACATATAGATAGCTAAATAGATATATACGTAGATATGAACAGGCTGAGATAGATAGATAGATAGATAGATAAGAAACAGACTAAGATAGATAGATAGATAGATAGATAGATAGATAGATAGATAGATAGATAGATAGATATGAATAGACTGAAATAGAAAGATAAATAGATAGATAGATATGTGAAGAGACTGAGATAGAAAGATAAATAGATAGATAGACATGTGAAGAGACTGAGATAGAAAGATAAATAGATAGATAGACATGTGAAGAGACTGAGATAGATATATTGATATAAACAGACATAAATAAATAGACAAATAGACAGATAGAGCGCTGAAGCGAAAAGGATTGAGAAAATTGATGTAAAAACTGATTCCGAGAAAGGAAGAGATTAAAAACAAAAATGGCGATGGGAAAAAAACAAAAAAACAAAACTCAAACAAGAATAAAAACAAAACCAGTAAAAAAAGACAAAAAAAAAAAAGACTAAAAAACGAAAAAGGACGAAGAACGTGTATAGAAACTAGCATGTCGAACCTCGGAACTGGGCGTCTAATTGTATTTGTCGTTGTTTATTGTGCGTTGATTAGACAGTGGGAGCCGTTTCGACACCGACCTCACTCTTGTAATGAGAAAAGCAAATTGGATTGAGAAGATATTTGGGTGTATTGCTTTGAAAAAGAATAATATTGATTCGAACGATGGAAAACTCAGCAGAAGGAGGCAGAGGGCAGAGAAGGAATCAAGTAAGGAACACGGAATATTGAAGACAGATAGAATTTGTTCAAGATGGAACTGAACAACGAAAATGGAAGCTGGCTAAAGAAATGTAAGGTTGGAAAAACACAAAACAAAAATTAAAAATATATAAACAGGACTAACTAAAATTATGGATTCCTAGTGAAATAAGCCACTATCGGAAGGAGGGTAAGGCTGATGTTGACGTGTATGTTGGATGATATTCTTAAAACTGAAAAGAACTTTCCACGGATGAGATAGAAAGGTTGGGGGATAGTGCGTCCGCCCATGAATCATTTGGGTTAGAAACTTTATCGCTGTTGTTTCGACAACTGTGTGTGTGTTTCGCCTCATGTAAGGCAGGAAAGCCACTGAGACACAAATGGTTACTGAATGAGAAAGAATAAGAAAAATAGAATCATTATTAAGGTGCGAGAAGAGTAAAAGATGAGGAATCAAGAAAACATGAAATAACGATTGGGTTTGGATTTACATTTATCAAGATCAAAGTTGGCTGGAAATTAGGGAGCCGGGATAATCAATTTGTTCTTTGGCTTTTAAATTAGTTAGCGAGCTAGGTAAATATGTGAATTGACTCAGATAGATAGATAGATAGATAGATAGATAGATAGATGAAGAGACTAAGATAGATAGATAGATAGATAGATAGATAACAGACGAAGATAAATAGATATGAACAGGCTAAGATAGATAGATAGATAGATAGATAGATAGATAGATAGATATGAACAGACTAAGATATATATATATATATATATATATATATATATATAGATAGATAGATAGATAGATAGATAGATGAAAACACTGAGATAGATATGTGAAGAGACTAAGATAGATAGATAAATATTTGAAGAGAATAAGATAGATGTCAACAGACGAATATAGAATGATGGGTAAATATAAACAGACTAAGATAGATAAATAGATAGATATGAATAGACTGAAATAGATAGATATATAGATATGTGAAGAGACTAAGAGAGACACATAAGAAGAGACTTAGATAGATAGATAGATAGATAGATAGATAGATAGATAGATAGATAGATAGATATATGAGCAGACTAAGATAGATAGATAGACTAAGATAGATAGATAGATAGATAGATAGATGGAGCAGATAGATAGATAGATAGATAGATAGATAGATAGATAGATAGATATAGATAGATATGAGCAGACTAAGATATAGATAGATAGATAGATAGATAGATAGATAGATAGATAGATAGATAGATAGATAGATAGATAGATAGATATGGAGCAGACTAAGATAGATAGATAGATAGATAGATAGATAGATAGATAGATAGATAGATATGGAGCAGACTAAGATAGATAGATAGATAGATAGATAGATAGATAGATAGATAGATAGATATGGAGAAGACTAAGATAGATAGATAGATAGATAGATAGATAAGATAGATAGATAGATATGGATAGATAGAAATATGGAAGATAGATAGATAGATAGATAGATAGATAGATAGATAGATAGAAATAAAAATTAACAAGCTGAGATAGATAGATAGATAGATAGATAGATAGATAGATAGATAGATAGATAGATATTATCAGATTGAGAGACCTATGATCATACTGAGATAGATATGAACAGAGTGAGATATTTAGATATATAAACAGATAAATAGATAGTGAACTTAATCCTAATCATAACCCTCATTTGCAGTCATTTTTGGCGTTTTCGAAATAAAATCCTTTTATTATTTGATACTTCATTAAAGATGCACAACTTTTTTATTTGACAATCTGCATGTCGCCTGCAATCAAAGCACGTGTTTTTTTTTTTATCATTTCACTTCAAACAAGGAAATAAAGCCCCTAAGACGCAAGTGTTAGAGAATATGAGAATAAAACTACTATTAAGAAGAAAGAACCATAAAAGAACATGGAAGTTAACTGTTGCCATTGCTTTTAAATTTTTGAAGATCAAAGTTCACTGAGAAGCAAGAATCCTGAAGAAAGTTCCACAAGGGAGAAGTGCGAGAAAATAAATTTTTAGTATAGAATTTACGGTTATATCTAACCATTTCAACTATAAAATGGTGTGACCTTGTTGCTTATCTAGTACTGCGCTTAAATTCATAAATATCTGGGCAGCATAGCGGAAAGGTTATCAGAACAATTACCGTAAAACGTATTTATAGAAAAGGCATAGGGAAGTTACATTACGGTGTTGGGAAACTGACTAAATCCGAGTTGCCAGGTCAGGACCAATAATTTTGATGATTCTTCTTTGGATTTTATCAAGAATCGTTTGCAGTCTTCCAAAATTATTGGGGATTTTGTCCTTTTGCATCAACGGACATGTAGTTTTGACTGATTCAAGTTCTGGACTTTTTTTTTTTTTGAGACATGCATCGTATGTGCAGCTATTTAAATCAGGCCAGGTAGCAGAAAATAGATACAAATATACGAAATGTGAAAATGCTAAAAAACATTTAGGCCTCACAAACGGCGCGCCTCATAAGTGCGGCAGAAGTGGATATACATGTGAGGCGGAAAAGGATAGCAGGTGAGGCGGAAGAGGATAGCAGGTGAGGCGGACGAGGATAGCAGGTGAGGCGGAAGATGATAGCAGGTGAGGCGGCCGAGGATAGGAGGTGAGGCGGAGAGGATAGCAGGTGAGGCGAAAGAGGAAGCAGATGAGGTTAAAGAGGATAGCAATTGCAGCAGAAGATGATAGCAGGTGAGACGGACGAGGATAAGAGGTGAGGCGGGAGAGGATAGCAGGTGAGGCGGAAGAGGGTAGCAGGTGATGCGGAAAACGGTAGCAGGTGAGGCGGAAGAGGATAGAAGGTGAGGCGGACGAGGATAGCAGGTGAGGCGGAAGAGGATAGCAGGTGAGACTGCCGAGGATAGGAGGTGAGGCGGAGAGGATAGCAGGTGAGGCGGAAGAGGATAGCAGGTGAGGCGAAAATGGAAATCAATTGCAGCAGAAGAGGGTAGCAGGTGAGACGGACGAGGATAGCAGGTGAGGCGGAAGAGGATAGCAATTGCAGCAGAAGAGGGTAGCAGGTGAGGCGGACGAGGATAGAGGTGGAAGAGGATAGTGAAAAGGAGGTTAGCAGGTGAGGCGGGGGAGGATAGAGGGAAGGCGGAAAGGATAGCAGGGGAGGTGAGGCGAAAGAGGATAGCAATTGCAGCAGAAGAGGGTAGCAGGTGAGGCGGACGAGGATAGAAGGTGAGGCAGGAGAGGATAACAGGTGGGGCGGGAGAGGATAGCAGGTGAGGCGGACGAGGATAGGAGGTGAGGTGGGAGAGGATAGCAGGTGAGGCGAAAGAGGATAGCAGGTGAGGTAGAAGAGGATAGAAGGTGAGGCGGAAGAGGATAGCAGGTGAGGCGGCCGAGGATAAGAGGTGAGGCGGAGAGGATAGCAGGTGAGGCGGAAGAGAAGAGCAGGTGAGGTTGCAGAGGATAGCAGGTGAGGTGGAAGAGGATTGCAGGTGAGGTGGTAGAGGATAGCAGTTGAGGCTGGAGAGAATAGCAGGTGAGGCGAAATAGGATAGAATGTGCAGCGGGATGATAGAAAGACAATCAAAGATTTAAAAAATTAAAATTTTATCATCATTTACTTGTAATTGCATGAGTCCCATTATAAATAGATTTAAATAATTGTTGACCAATTTTATCATTGTGGTATTACTGCATTATATCAAATATTAAGACTATAATAACTATGATCCGCGATTTGGAGGTGAGAGTGTCCTCTGGGTTTATTTTTTAAAAAATACTTGTTTTGGATATATATTCCTGCTGATTCAATTGAGTTTCATTGTTTCATTTGGTAGCAATTACTAAAATTTCTTACAATTAAACAAGTATATTTTACAAACCTTTTCGGTTTAGTTTGGTTTGCTTTCTTTTACGGCATATCAACCTGAATGGGTTATTTAATGCTGATCAGATTTTTATTGCTGGTAATATTTTTTCCATAAATGTATTGTTGGTAATATTTTTTTTCATAAATGTATTGCTGATAATTTTTTCTTTTTCTAAAAATATTGCTGTTAATAATTTTCAAAAAAGAAAGTACTGCTGGTATTAAAACATATTTTTATATTTTCATAGTGTTTTTGACCCCTTTTCAAGGGTTAACTATTCGCCCGTGGGTCCGTAACAGGTGCTATCATCCTGTGTCAGAGTGGACCTGGGAACACTAGCAGTTAAGAGGCGGTGCCATGCTACTCAAAGCATCATGAGCAGAGGTCTTGCGATCGGATGCAGTTTATCGTCATACCCAGAACACCAATCATCTTTTCTTTCGTGCTGAATAAAGGTTCATAATATATTTCAAAATAGAAAAGTCGACCTTCCCGACAAGCCCAACGATTGAAAATATATAGTTCTACCCAACGACACTAAAACAACTGAAATTGAAACGAATTTATCTAAACTCAGCATAAAATCCGACATAGTATAGATGGTCACTTGTATTCGAGGATACGCGTCTAAAAGGGCGGGTAGCCAATCCCTTATGCAGACGCTTGCTCAGGCGCATTTGTGTTTTCAACGCCCACAGAGTCCACCTGTGGATTATACTACAAATATGCTGAGCAGACATTAGTTGCAGTTTCTGTAGAAGAGCGTGTTATCTAGTGTGATCAATAATTTCAACAAGGCCAGAACGCTGAAGCCCTCGGCCACGATGACTTGTGACTTCATCCTAGCACAGCTATCGACGGCCCTCAAGGGTTCCGTCTACCCAATTTCACTCACAAGACCCCCATACGTATCCACCACACACACACACACACACACACACACACACACACACACACACACACACACACACACACTCTCTCTCTCTCTCTCTCTCTCTCTTTTTACTTACTGTTCTTATTCTCTCTTTCTGTTTTTTATATATGTATATCTTAGTCGGTGTACGTATATTAGTATATACAGATATATATATATATATATATATATATATATATATATATATATATATATATATATATAAAGTAGACGTATGTATAGCTGGCCACTTTTATTCGAGGATACCCGTCTGTTAGGGCGGCTAGCCTAATCCCTAATGCAGACGCTTGCTCAGGCACATTTGTGTTTATTCAACACCCACAGAGCCAACCTGTGGTTTATACTGCAACTATGCTGAGCAGACCTTAGTTACAGTTTCTGGGAAAGAGCTTGTCATCTAGCGAGATTTATTGCAATTTAAAAAAAAAGCCAGCACAGTCAAGCCCTCGGCCACAATGACTTGTGACTTCGTGCTAGCACAGCTATCGACGGCTCCCAGTGGATTCGTCTATTCAATTTCACTCACAAGTCTTGGGTCAATCTGTGGTATGATTTTCATGCACTTTCCAAAGGTGCCGCACACTGGGTTCGACCCCTGCAATCTGATAACATCAGGAAGACAACTTCCTGAAAAATCGGCAATGGTGAGATTCGAACCCGGGGCTCATGGTCAAAATGCAAAAGTTCTAATCTCTTGATAATAGTACTAAACAAAATAATATACTAAAACTTAAAGGAGGATTTTAGTGCATCATCTTTAGTTATTTCCCAATCTGCATTCACTCTTTTCGTCATTGATACTACAAAAATCACCCTCTTACCAATGCAACATAACGTGTAATAAACCTTGATGACGAATTTGTAAACATATCATCCCCGATAAAACTTTTAAGCCAACTCTCACACACACAGTAATATAACCTTCTCTATTAACTTGTAACAGTTCAAATGTAATATATTTACTTTTTGCAACACATTTAAAAAAGAAAATGAAATCGTTGAAACGTGTACAGTTAAATAAACATAAGAAAACTATTAATATGAATTGCACATTTCGACCAGCCGAATCATAGCACCGAGAAAGCTAGATGCGACATTTTATCGTATTTGTGGTATTGTAAATGCCAACAAGAACGACGAAAAACCGAGATGAAATACATTTTTAAAATAGATTCACATATACTAGTGTGGAATCTTCCACAACAAACCAGCCTTACCTCTTTTTAGGAAATGCACTCTTCCTATCTGGTAAGTAACATCATACTTTCACATAATTATAACAAGTATTCATTGGTCACTCACCTCCAATCTTGCTTGCTGATTGGTCAGTTCCGACCAATCAAACCGCCTGCACGCGACCAATCTGTTTTTCCCGCGTTCTCCGTTTGAGCCTCCCACGTGGTACACGACCATTATATAAGCCCAACACGTGTAAACTTCCTCGAGTTTTTCTTTCCATTCATCTCTCTCGCACTTCTCATTCCTTGCTACCAAGTGCCAAGATGTAACCTTCAGGAACTTCCGTCTTAGTCATTGCTGGCCAGACGTTAAAGACAATTACCAACATTCACGAACTCTGAAATCACTCCTGAACTTTTACAACTCACAATTCTAAACTTTCTTAATATGAACAACTAATACCTAATCAAAGGGACACAACTCTGTCCTACCTTTTCAGTTCGCATGCATGTACATCAAACATTAATAAATCTAAATGTTATGTTTTGAAATCATTCAGTTCAGTTTTGTATTTTCTTCTATGTGCTATTTACGTCAAGTATAAATTGCATTGCGTTCACGCATTGTTCTTAATCTCATCTTTCTTAGCCAAAGTTAAATATTGGTAACTCTATATCAACATATATTGATGACCGCGACGTTCGTGGTTCAACGATCACAACAACAATGGTAATACAAGCGCTACATATATTGGTGATTCCGTCGGGAATAAACAATAATGGTACCCTATCGCTACACTAGGTTTAAATAGGAATGTATGCTTACTCAATGCGGCTTCAAAAGTAGCCACCATCAAATCCTCTACAACACTAATCATGGCAAACAGACCAAAACAACTAAATCTCTTCAGTAATATAAGACACGTGGAATAAAATATCCCCCCGAGAATGTCCCACTACATTTTTTTTTATTTCTCCTCTAGTTTAGAAAAAAAACGGGTGTGTCTCAATATTCTAATGCTTAACATCTTCCTCAGCACCTGTCTAAATTTCTGACATCAGGTATTGTAATTATTTATATTGTACTGACTGTGGTCTGCATCTAAATTGTCATATTCACGATCTTTCGACTGTTATACGCTCCGGCCTTTTCACGACGTTTCGGCCGTTTTACATTCCAGTCTTCATCAGGGGACTGGAATTTCAAACGGGTCTCGTGGATAAAAATCGTTGGTTGAATACAGTGACTTGACCCAAAGAGTTGTGAGTTTACCTGGCCACAGCAGTGATGAACAAAAATCTTGGAGAGTTGAGTTACATGTGAGATAACGGAGATAGGCGGAAGAGGCATGTCACGTGGAACTAGAACAATCTACCCCAGTGGACGAAATAAAGATTTCCGTTCGAAATCCCAATCACCTGGAGAAGGCCGGAACGTATAACAGCCGTAAAGTCATGAATATGACAATGAAGATTTTTCCGAACAATGTAAATAACCTTTCTCGTCGTACTCCTATTCGGTTAACCGGCCAACTAATATAAAATAAATAATATCTGTCTTGTTATCAATATTATTATTTTTCCTGTTTTTCTTAACTCTCGAATTTCTTTCTGTTATATCTATATATATAAGAAGCATTCTTGGACAATATATATATATATATATATATATATATGTGTGTGTGTGTGTGTATCTGTATCAAATATGTGGTGCAGTTCAATTTATATTACATTGCCTTGAAGCATTCATACAAAAAGTAAATTAGTAAAGTTATTGATATAAAATGGCGAATTCACTTCGTTAACTAAATTTTGAAAATGCATTAACACACTAATCACTCGATGAATGTTATGATCCTTGTTTTTGTTTTTTAATTATATGCCGTATAAGGTCTTTCTTAAATACGCAAGTACTTTCGACTGTACATTCAGTCATCTTCAGGCATGGAAATTATTTTGTTTTTGGTAAAATTCATGCAGTTTCCAGGACGAAAACTATAATGCGAATCGAAATAAGTTTTTTTTTTGCGTGTGTGTGTCATTGATAACGGATATAACTTTAACGCTAAGGTTGATTTTTTTTGGGTGCGTTTTTGACTAATATGGCAATTTGAGATTTTCTTTTTTTGTTGTAGGAGTTTATCTGTCAATGTGGGATGAACTAAATAGCTTAATAAGTAGAAGAATGTCTCAGTTGTTATTCCGTATTTAAGAAATACTTTGTACAGCTTATAATTTTAAAAAGACAAGGATCATAACATTAATCGAGTGATTAGTAGATTAATGCATCTTTAAAATTTAGTTAGCAAAGGGATTTCGCCATTTTATATCATTAACTTTACTAATTTACTTTTTGTAAGAATGATTCAATGTAATATATATATATATATATATATATATATATATATATATATATATATACCACTTTAAAAGTTATTTTTAGTGGATACCCTTATTTCAGTAAACATAACCAGTTCCGTGATTTCAAGCGAAATTTCTCCCATCTCAGATCTCTCGAAGTTTTCACGTGTCTTTACAATTTTTGTTAATGCGATAAAATTTGTATCACATTAAGCGTTATTTTTAGTGAACATTAGTTCAAAATGTTTTTCTAAATGTTTTTCTTTATTCCTCTTTGTCGATTTATTTTCGAGTAGTTCAATTCCTTATGATGCTACTAGTTGCAACATTTGCATCACTAAGTAATATTTCTCCAGATCTTGTTTTTTTTTTCTATAGGTTGTTTCATTAAGACAGATCAAAGTCAGCAGTAAATAAATCAGTTTTATTGGTGAAAATTTATGTATTTCTCTATTGGATCGTGTTATTTACGTCATGGCAATTATGTGTGAAAAATAATATCGCCCAAATGTCCGCCAAGGTTTCGGCGTCACACCTCCACTCGATGGTCAAAATTTTTGATGACGTCTCTACATAGTTGCTCGTTGATCTCACCAATATGCCTTATTATCTCATCCTTCAGCTGTTGAATTATTGTTGGCTTGTTGGCATAGACCTTACTTTTGAAATGACCCCAAAGGAAGAAATCTAAAGGCGTCAAGTCGCACGATCGTGGGAGTCAATTGACTTCGCTGTTTCGAGAGATGATGTGACCTGGGAACTTCTCATTCAAATTCTGTTTAAACGTCCATTTTCGTAATAGGCTTTGACGTTGTTTGATTGTTAATATTTCCATGACTGAAATTGCTAAAGACTTAAGTTGTTAAATCTGAAAGGAAAAGAAAAAAATCATTAGACGCTTAAACGTAATTCATATTTAAAAGTTATTGGAACCTCATTTATTAATGAATCCAGTTTTTTTAAACATTTGTGCAATTTTGTTAAGTCACCAATAGAAGATCGACAGCGTCTAGTAAGTGTTTCAAGAAATAAGACTCAAAATGAACCTTTTCAAAAGAGAAATTATGAACTGGAATTGGAATGAAAGCTATGATGGCACGTACCCTGAATCCATCATCAAAATGAAAACATCCTCTATCAAGTGTTTTAAGAAATAGGGCTTAAGATAAACCTTTCCAAAATAGAATCTGTGATCTACAATTGGAATGAAATCAGTGATGATACGTACCCTGAATTCATCGTAAAAATGAAAACGTCCTCTATCAAGTGTTTTAAGAAATAGGACTCAAGATAAAGTTTTCCAAAACAGAAACTATGATCTGGGATTAGAATGAAAACAATGATGACACCTATCATTAATCCGTCATTAAAAATTCAAGATGTGGGATTAGTAAATACTAAACACAACAGATACATTGGTCTAAGGATCAGTTATGACAGACTGTGTCAGATGTAGTTTCGCTTCATACCTCAAATGGCTACGAAACCAAAACATCAACCTAAAAACTCGAGACATAGCATTATAAGATCAAGAATTTCATATGGATGTAATTGCACAACACCAAACTCTTTTAGAGATATCTTAACTGCCACCTGTATATAACCACTTCCTGATATCAAAAGGAAGAAAAGTCTTTGAGCGAATGAGACCTGGGAAACATGGCAAAGACAATCCTTCTTTGAACATTGTGGAAATATACTACAGAATCACAAAGAATTGTACCAAATAACAGGAACCACGTCATTTGAGTAGGACCATCTCAAAGCTTCGTCAGGTTGAAAATTTTATATGGATGTCATGCATGGAGCCAAACCCGTTCAGAAATATCTAAACTGTCAGATTTATACAACCGCTTCTTCGTCTCTGAGCGAGTGAGGATCTTGACAAAGATCTTTCTTTGAAAATTGTGGACCGGTGCTACAGAATCCCAAAGAACAGAAACCACATAGTTTGAGGACTTTCAGCAGCAGCAACAACTAAAATGGATAGCCCAAGTTCTTAAATAGCATCGTCAAATCGAGACTTTCATATGGATGGCATACCTGGCGGCCAAACCATTCGGAAATATCTGAACTGTCATTTGTATACAACCGATTTCTCGTATCAATAATCAAAAAGGCTTTGAGCGAGTGATGACTTTGGCAAAGATCATCTTTCTTTTAACATTGTGGACTGGCGCTACAAGATCACAAAGAACTCTATCAAATAACAGAAATCACATCGTTTGAGGACTTTCAACAGCAGCAAAAACTAAAATATTTTGCACAGGTTCTTAAATAGCCTCGTCAAATCGAGACATTCATATGGATGTCATGCCTGGCGCAAATCCGTTCAGAAATATCTAAACTGTCAGCTATATCAATGGTTAAAAATGAATTCGAGTGAATGAAGTCTGTAAGTCTTGGACCATCCTTCTTCGATCTTTCCTGATTGGCGCTACAGAATCACAAACAAAGAAATATGCCAAATAGCAGAAAGCATGTCACTTGAGAAATGTCATATAAAACGGATAGGACATGTAACTCAAAGAGAAACTAATGCCATAATCACGATGTTGATATTCCACACTACTTTAAACAAAAGGTGAGGAAGGGAACCCAAATCAAAACGTTAACAGATACTAGAGTTAAGAAACCTATTTTTCTTAAATTGTTTTAAGAGAAAGATTTTATACATTTCAACCGACGTATGGCCTGCACGGTCAATGAATGTCAAATATTTCCTTATAGGGAAACGGCTAATATTATCATTGCTATATATATATTAGTATGTGATGGTTCTCTAACGGTCAGAGGAATAATTAGTGAACTTATTTCAATTGAGAACGAAGTTGGTAATATGACTCGCAGAAGTATCATTGGGAAAAGGTAGAAAGCATCTTTTTTCCCGCATAGCTATGGGTTAAATAGTAGTTTTGACCGAATACATTTGTCTTGAGGAGGCTAATAGATATATAGTCTTCCTCGCCGTCGTCCATGTAATGCCGCTAAGACTAAAACTAGACACAAGATTGGACATGACATAAATTAGAGGACAGAGGTCTATTAACGATTATTACTTCATGTTCTCAGATACTGCTGAGAAAGATGCAATTAAGAAATCTTGATTTGGTGAAAAGAAATACTACAATATTCAGAACATTATTTAAGATTTAAATAAAGATGATCTCTGAAATAATTCTCCTTCTCCCTTTTCTCTGTTCCTTTATATATCAGTTATTCTTTGATTGTATCTTTCAATGTCTAATCTCCTTAATCTCACTTTTCTCTGTTTTTCTATATATCCATTGTTTTGCCATTGTATCTTCCAATTTCTAATCTATGAAATCGTAGACTATGATACTATAATATCCACAGCTTTATTTTAGATTTAAATGATGATAATCTATAAGAAAAACCTTCTTAATCTCACTTTTCTCTGTTTTTCTATATATCCGTTGATTTTCCATTGTATCTTCCAATGTCTAATCTATGAAATGGGAGACATGATACTATAATATCCACAGCTTTATTTTAGATTTAAATGATGATAATCTATAAGAAAATTCTTAATCACTTTTTCTGTTTTTCTATATTCCGTTGTTTTTTCCATTGTATCTTCCAATGATAATCTATGAAATGGGAGATTTACTATAATATTTTTTTATTTTAGATTTAAACATTATAATAGATTTCTTATTCTCCCCTATTTTGCAACATTATGGTTTTTCTTATTGACGTTGTATTTTATTATTTTCAACATTAATATTTTTATAATAGATTATATTATTATTATTATTATTATTATTATTATTATTATTACTGTTAATGTTATGTTTTGCATTGTAAATATCCAGTGATGACGTCGATGTTGTCTGTCGCCATCTTGTCTGTTGAAACCGAACTAAAAATTGATTCGAATTCTCCATTTCTATTATTATTTTATATTTATATTTTTTGTAAATATTTTAAATAGCGTTATCATTATTCATACTGTTCTTGAAATATTTTTTATTCATCGATTGAATTATCATTCGATAACAATAATATGTTTTTTCTCGCTATTCTCGTTTGGCGAAAAAGCTCATCTCTTCCCCTATTTTTATTTGGGGAAAAAAAAAAAAAAAAAAAATATCGAAGGAAATTCAGTAAAACAAATTATTTTAACGTTCTTTTGCATAAAATATTTTATTCCGTTTATTTATTTCCTGTTAAAATATTTTCAAAAATTTCTCTAATTTTTTTTCGCGTGTGATTCCGTCTTAAATTTTTTTGTCTTAGTTCTTTTTTGTCTGCTTCTTTTCCGTTTTTAAAGTAATTATATAGTTTGAAGTTTCATAATATTTTTGATGGATAGATTCGGGATTACTAATCAGATTTTAAATATGAGATGTCCATGACTGATTACTTCTGTGCTTTTAAACTCTCAACCGCATGTCTTCAACATGTTGTGAAATGTCAGGGGTCTCCCTTCCTTCTTACCCTATTCCTGAACTTCATACCCACTAACACCCTGCTAAATGTTGAAACATGGCTAATTCATCGTCTCGGTTGAGCATTGTTTATTTTATCTGATTTTCTTTTTGTAGGAATATGTGGGAATAGGCATAATGGCGTCTAGGCCCTGTGTTGCTGGGTCGGCCCAAAGTTAACTTCCGGGCAGCCATATTACACTTGGCTTTCTGCTTGGTACAATCAGACGTACCAGGTATCAGGGGAGAATTGCTTGAGGATTAGTTGTTTTCCTGAGTGTATACGCCAAGAGGTGAAAAAGAAAGAAGAAAGAATGCAATTTCTCTATAAAAAGAAAGAAAGAAAGAAAGTAAGAAAAGGGAAAAGAAAGGAACACACTATAGAAAGAAAGAAAGAAAGAAAGAAAGAAAGAAAGAAAGAAAAATATAGATAGATAGATAGATAGATAGATAGATAGATAGATAGATAGATAGAAATGAAGAAAGGGTAAAGAAATAAAGAAAGAACGAAAAAAGGGAATAGATAGAAAAGCTCTAAAGAAAGAAATAAGGAAGGAAAGAAAGAAAGGGGAGAAAGAAAAGTAATATAAAAAAGAAAGAAAGTGAAAAGAAAGAAAAAAGCAAGTAAAACAAAAAGGGAAAAGAAAGAAACGCACTATAGAAAGAAAGAAAGTGAAAAGAAAAAGAAAGAAAGAAAGAAAGAAAGAAAGGAAAAAGAAAAAGCTCTATAGAAAGAAAGAAGGAAAGACACAGAAAAAAAGAAAAGAAAAAGTTCCTTTGAAAGAAAGAAAGAAAGAAAGGGAAAAGAAATAAAGGGAAAAGAAATAAAGGGAAAAGAAAAAGCTCTATAGAAAGAAAGAAAGAAAGAAAGAAAGAAAGAAAGAAAGTCACAGAAAAAAGAAAAAGAAAAGAAAAAGTTCCTTTGATAGAAAGAAAGAAAGAAAGAAAGTGAAAAGAAAGGAAAGCACTAAAGAAAGAAAGAAAGAAAGAAAGAAAGAAAGAAAAAATATATAGATAGATAGATAGATAGAAAGGAAGAAAGGATAAAGAAATAAAGAAAGAACGAAAAAAGTGAATAGATAGAAAAGCTCTAAAGAAAGAAATAAGGAAGGAAAGAAAGAAAGGGGAGAAAGAAAGAAAAGTAGTATAAAAAAGAAAGAAAGTGAAAAGAAAGAAAAAAGCAAGTAAAACAAAAAGGGAAAAGAAAGAAACGCACTATAGAAAGAAAGAAAGTGAAAAGAAAAAGAAAGAAAGAAAGAAAGAAAGGAAAAAGAAAAAGCTCTATAGAAAGAAAGAAGGAAAGACACAGAAAAAAAGAAAAGAAAAAGTTCCTTTGAAAGAAAGAAAGAAAGAAAGAAAGAAAGAAAGAAAGAAAGGGAAAAGAAATAAAGGGAAAAGAAATAAAGGGAAAAGAAAAAGCTCTATAGAAAGAAAGAAAGAAAGAAAGAAAGAAAGAAAGAAAGAAAGAAAGTCACAGAAAAAAGAAAAAGAAAAGAAAAAGTTCCTTTGATAGAAAGAAAGAATGAAAAAAAAGGAAAAGAAATAAAGGGAAAAGAAAATGCTCTATAGAAAGAAAGAAAGAAAGAAAGAAAGAAAGAAAGAAAGAAAGTCACAGAAAAAAGAAAAAGAAAAGAAAAGAAAAAGTTCCTTTGATAGAAAGAAAGAAAGAAAAAAAGAAAGAAAGAAAGAAAGAAAAAAAGGGAAAAGAAATAAAGGGAAAAGAAAAAGCTCTATAGAAAGAAAGAAAGAAAGAAAGTCACAGAAAAAAAAAGAAAAGAAAAAGTTCCTTTGATAGAAAGAAAGAAAGAAAGAAAAAAGGGAAAAGAAATAAAGGGAAAAGAAAAAGCTCTATAGAAAGAAAGAAAGAAAGAAAGAAAGAAAGTCACAGAAAAAAGAAAAAGAAAAGAAAAAGTTCCTTTGATAGAAAGAAAGAAAGAAAGAAAGAAAGAAAGAAAGAAAGAAAGAAAGAAAAAATGGAAAAGAAATAAAGGGAAAAGAAAAAGCTCTATAGAAAGAAAGAAAGAAAGAAAGAAAGAAAGAAAGAAAGAAAGAAAGAAAGTCACAGAAAAAAGAAAAAGAAAAGAAAAAGTTCCTTTGATAGAAAGAAAGAAAGAAAGAAAGAAAGAAAAAAGGGAAAAGAAATAAAGGGAAAAGAAAAAGCTCTATAGAAAGAAAGAAAGAAAGAAAGAAAGAAAGTCACAGAAAAAAGAAAAAGAAAAGAAAAAGTTCCTTTGATAGAAAGAAAGAAAGAAAAAAAATGAAAGAAGAAAAAAGACAGACAGAAAAAAGAAAAAGAAAAGAAAGTAAAAAGCTCCTCTGAAAGAAAAAAAAGAAAGAAAGAATGAAAATTGAAAGGAAAGAAAGCAAAAGCTCAAAAAAGTTCAAAAGAAAACTTAAAAGAAAGAAAATAAAAGATAAAAGAAAATAGAAAAGAATGAAAAATGAACGAATGAAAGAAGGAAAACTAAAATAGAAAATCAGAAAGAATGGAAAAAGAAGAAAACAAAAATCCTTGGAAAGAAAGAACGAATGGAAGAGCAAAATATGAATTGAAAAAAAAAATACATTGGAAAAATAAAATAAAAGTCAAAAACAAAGCTGTGAAAAATGAAAGAATGAACAGAGTAAAGAAAAAGAAAGAAGATAGACACAAAGAAAAAATAAGAAAAAGAAAAAGAAAGAAATGAAAATTGAAAGAAGGAAAGAAAAAACAAAAGAATTAATAGAGAAGTCAAGTAAAAAATAAGAAAGCAAGAATGAAAACAGAAAGAAGAAAAGCCAAAGAGACAGAAGAGAATGAACGAGAAAGAAAGATAGAAAGGCGGAGAAAATAAAAAAAAGTAATAAAGAAGAGAGGAGGCAAATAAGAAAAAAGAACGAAATGAAGAAAAAAAAGAAAGAAAAGACGAAAATGAAAGAAAAAACAAAAGAAAAAGCGAAAGATGCAAAAAAGAAATAAGAGAAGAAAATAATGAAAAGACGAAAGGTAATAAAAAGAATAAAGAAAGAAAAAGCAAATAAATACAAAAAGAAAGAAAATATAAAAGATAAAAAAGAAAGAAAAAGAAAGAAAAGAAGAAGGATACAAAAAGAAAAAAAAACAAAGAAAAGACGCGATATGAAAAAAAAAGAAAAGAATATAGGAAAAGACGAAAAGATAAAAAAGAAAGAAAAAAGAAAGAAAAGATGAAAGACGCAAAAAGAAAGTAATAAACAAAGAAAAAGAAAAATGAAAGATACAAAAAAGAAAGAAAAAGAAAGAAAAGAGGAGACACAAAAAGGAAATAAAAAGAAAGAAAGAAACGAGATACAAAAATGAAAGAAAAAAAGGAAGAAAAGAAGAGATACAAAAAGAAAGAAAAAATAGAGAAAAACGAGATACAAAAAGAAAAAAGAAAGAAAATAGAAGATACAAAAAAGAAAGAAAAAAGAAAGAAAAGAGATCCAAAAAGAAAGAAACAAAGAAAAAACGAGACACAAAAAAGAAAGAGAAAAGAAAGAAAAGAGGAGATACAAAAGGAAATGCGAAAAAGAAACAAAAAAATAAAAAAGAGACACAAAAAAGAAAGAAAAAGGAAAGAAAGAGGAAATATCAAAAAGAAAAAAAAAGAAAGAAAAGACAAGATACAAAAAAAAAGAGAAAAATAATTAAATCAAGTAAATTTTAACTAAGAAATAAATAAAAACGTAAAATTAAATAAGAAGCAATTTATTCATACGGTTATCTTTATTTTGTTGTTTTGGTCGCAAAGATCCGACAGATTAACTCTCCTACTTTCGTCAGTATTTTCTGATGTTCTAGTACTTAGTACATTACTAATATTATTGTCCTCAACTTTGTTGTTTTTAATACATTTCGACCGATTTATTCTCTGGCTTCTGCATTACCTGAAGTTCCAAGATAATATTCAGGGGTCGCCAAAGCTCACATCCTTTTTTATTTATTTTTATTCAACAAAAATAAATCCAATAATTTAAGATGGCTTAAGATTAACTATGGCTTCCGTGTTTGGGAAATGATTCAGTCTTAATTTCAAATTGAAGTGGATAGGACGACGTGAAAGAATTGAATGATGGCCAGTCATTATCACCAGACCTCAAGGCCACCAGGCTTTTTTTCTCGTTGGGTGGGGACTGAAAGATCTTTTGTACGGGCTCAAGAACTTAATGTAGAAATGTATCAAATGGTTTATAGAAGTGTTGCTGATAAGCTACAGCGTTGTATTGAGAATGAAGGGGACGTGTTAAATAGCTTATTAACCATAACAAATCATGTTTTCGTGTCACGATATTTATACATTTTCTTACACTATCGACTTTTGTTCAATAATAAAGGAAAAAAGAGGATTACTTTTGCCGTACATTATAACTATTTATCTTATCTTATATCTATCTATCTATCTGTTACTTATCTGGTATCCATATATATATATATATATATATATATATATATATATATATATATTATGAAATGAAGTCCAATAATTAATTTAAGACATTTTTATGTTTATACATTCTTTTTATAGATACAAATATTTAAGTAAATGTTATGTTTATAATAAACAGTATTAAACAACATTTACCAACCTGAATGTCCGAGAAATTCTCATAGAAAATATTCGTCATCCGACAGGAATCGAACCTGTATCCTATACGGAACCGTCATTTAGCTTGACCGAATCGGTTAAAACACGTTGAAATGACGCTTCCATATAGGATACAGGTTCGATTCCTGTCGGAAGACGAATATTTTCTATGAAAATTTCTCGGCCAGTAAATGTTATTAATCCTGTTTATTATAAACAGAGCATTTACTTAAATATTTGTATTTATAAAAAGAAAGTATACACATATATATATATATATATATATATATAGATAGATAGAGAGAGAGAGAGAGAGAGAGAGAGAGTAAGAGTAAGTAAGTAGGGAGAGAGAGTGCGGTAAAAAATACGCCTTTTTTTTTCGAGTAGTAAGTCTTGGAGTAATTTTTGCCGTCACAATCACCAGGCCAAACACCACCGGATTTTTTTCTGTGGGGTGTCATGAAAGATCTTGTTTACAGACTCAAATCGAAAACAATTCCTGAATTAAAATAAGAAATTTCTGATCAATTAATGTAGAATGTGTTAAATGATTTGTAGAACTGTTGCTGATAGGGTTCAGTGTTTTATTGAGAATAAAGGGGAACCTGCTAAATAGCTTGTTAACCATAACAAATCCTGTTGTTTTCATGTGACAATAATTAAAAAAATTATTAAACTATTTACTTTTGTTCAATAATAGATAAAAAATAGCATTACTTTTGCCGTATCCTGTATTATTATGAACATTATTATTATTTTTTTATTATTATTATTTGTATCATTTACATTATTCAGACTGTTATCTTTATCGCCATATTCACAACGTTTCAACCGTTGTACGATCCGGCCTTCTTCAGGTGTTTGGAATCTCGAACCGAACTTTCTTATTTCGTCCACTGGGGTAAACTGTTCTAGTTCCACGTGCCATGCCCCTTACGGATGTCTCAGCTATTTACCTTTCTCACTTGGTTCACTTTGTATTGAACTCACAACTCTTTGGGTTTATTCACTGGATCTAACCAACGTCTTTATCCACTGAACCATGTGTCCTTGCATACGGCTTTTTGGAACTTATAAACCTAATGTATCAGCAATCAATTCTTTTTTTTTTTGTTACCAAGGCTGACATTACATTTTTTCTGTTATTATTATTTTTTACCAGAGCTTATATTGCATTTTTTTTCGTTATTTATTGCTTTCCTCTAGTACTACTTATTAATGGTTCCCATATTGTAATCATTTCTATGCTTGGTCGGCTCAGAAGATTTTTGTGGTCTAGCATATGTGCTGATTCCTTGAGTTTTCATAATTTCCAGTGATGTTTTCTGTCTATTTTTTCATATTTGTTATCATCAAGGATGAGACAAAGCGAAGAGAAGGAAAGGAAAATAAAACCCTGCGTTTATCACCTCGGATTTTCGGAAATGTATAATCCGTTCGGGTGTTTACAGACCCCAATACAAAAATGATTATATTGTTAGAATTATATAAGATATTGTGATATTGCAGGCAGTTTACAGTAAGCAATAAATCTAAACTTGAGCTGAAGATTTAACAAACAATTTCTGATAAATTAATGTAGAAATCTGTCAAATGATTTGTAGAAGGTTTGCTGATAGGGTTCAGCATAGCATTGTACATGGTTTTTGAACGTGTTAAATAGCTTGCTAATCCTAACAAATCATATCGTTTTTATGCCACAATGCTTGCAAATTCTCTTAAACTATTGTAATATATTTTTGTTTAATAAGTGTTAATAAATAGAAAAGGGTGTTACTTTTGTCTCACCCGGGGTTATCATAGATCAGGTATGGACAACGTCTTTCGAACACTGGGCCGTATGAGTTCATCATAATGCGGGTCACACTACTAAAAAATCCATGCTGTTTTTTTTTCTTTTTATTAAAGATGCCGCAGCCATTCCCACCACAAATGATCTAACGTGAGAACATTTTTTTTTTTGGGGGGTATAGATTATTTTTATAATACGAAAAAAATGATGTTTTGTTATAATATCACCCACGATGACATATTCACTTAATTATTCTTGGGGAAGGTGTGAATCCACGTCTTCTTCCCCCAGCTATGGGTTAATTAGTAAAACTTGTGTCAGTTATGTTAAAAAATTTAAAAAGTATTTTATGGCATTAAAAATGAATTGACAACTCGTCAGAATCTATCTTGCACGTTTATAAATATGTGAATATCACTTTCATATCTGGCATGTCCTTCTTGCTATCAATCTGTCCTGTGAGTATCAAATTTTCCAAACAGTTTTTCCTCATTATACGCCCTAGAAATTTCAACTATTCCTTCCTGATGTACCCTTTTTATTAACACTATTTACATCGTTCAGTCTGTTCTCTGCATCTTTATTGCCATAGACACGATGTTTCGGCCGTTGTACACTCCGGCCTTCTTCAGGTGATATACGCTGCAATTTTGAACCGAACCATTGGGGTAGATTGTTCTGATTCCACGTGTCATGTCTTTTCTTGATATCTCAGTTCCAGTTAATTCTCATTAGTTACTAAACCCTCCAAGTTTCTATTCCCTCTGCTGTGGCCAAATATTGAACTCACAACTCTTTGGGTCGAGTCAATTTTTGGATTATTTCAAACAACGCTTTTATGAACTAGGCCATGTGTCGTGAATATGATAAAAAAGATGAGGACAACACTCCGAACAATGTAAATAGTGTAAATAATTACAATGTCTCATCTCCTGAAAAATATCGTAGGTTACAACGACCAAAACGTCGTAAATATGGGAACGAAGATGTGGAGAAAGTTTGAACATTGTAAATAGTGTAAACAGTTACAATACCTCACACAGAAATATTGACAGACACTAAAGAAGGCCGGAGTGTACTTCTTCATCTGTGAGAAGGTTGTCCAACATTCACTGCCATATAGGAGGACTGATATTACATAATAGTCCAGTACTCTTTTCGTTGATTCTGTTATTTCGGGTCTCTTCTTCATCTTTGAGGAGATTGTCCAGCATTCACTGACATATAAGAGGACTTATATTACATAACAGTTCAGTACTCTTTTCTTTGTTTCTATTGCTTCAAGTTACTTCTTCATCTGTGAAGAGATTGTCCAGTATCCACTGCCATATAGGAAGACTGATATTACACAACAATTCAGTACTCGTTTCTTTTTTTCTGTTGTTTCGGGTCTCTTCTTCAACCGTGAGGAGATTGCCCAGTATCCACTGCCATATAGGAGGACTTATATTACATAACAGTTCAGTAATCTTTGCTTCTAACGAAATCTTCCTATTTCTAAACGCTTAGCTTAGCTTTTGAAATGTATCTTTCGATATTTTCCAAGGGGTTTTTGGAGTCACAATTTCCGTTCTTTGTTTAAAAGACTTCCTACGTATTTACATTTTTGCACTTATTTTGGTATCGGCAGTCTGTATTTCGAATCTCGAGCAGTTCCTTCTTGCTGACAACCATATATTCTGTCTTACAGAATTGATGGTTGCTTTTTTTTTTTCTTCTAACTATAGGATCTAATTTCTTCTATTTTTTTTTTCATTGTACGAATATTGGCGTAAAAAAATTTCCAAATAGTCCTCTGCCTTCAGTCTTGTGTTCTCTATGATTTCTAAAATTGAACCAAATCTGAAGAAAGGTTTTTGGCCACAGATACTGCAAACAATAAATGGAAGTTGTGAATCGATTCCGACCGTGCCAAGCAATTCCAATCTTCGGTACTAACTTCTGACACTTCAGGATGATAAATTTATCGTTGAGATTTGGCGGGAACCTTTTCTGACGAGGACATTGCAATCAACGGACGGCGATGCCACCGGAAATTGACCAAATATTCAATGCCAGAATTTTGAAAGGTCAGTTTGAGAATAGAAAGCTATAAATTAGAAGACGGCAGAAAAGAAATGTTTGTCTGAAATAATATGGAAACAAGTGATAAAAAATGTCTCTAAAGTTGAATGAAAGGGAGGTCGAAAGAAAGAATAAACGTTGAGAAGACATAAGCAGAACGAAGACATTTTTAAGAAAGGAAGAGTAATGTTTTTTTTTTTTATTTCTTAAAAAAATGAAAAAATATTCAACGGACAATGTAAGGAATACTTAAAGGGAAAGTCTAGATAATAAAGTAAAAATTTAAAACTAAAGAAATATTTTAAAGAAGAGGAAATTGGAAATAGGCGTATTTGAATGGAACAAAACGAAAATATTCCCTCCATGCCGGATGAAAAAAATAAAACAACGTGAAAAGAATTAAGATGGAGTTTTCAAAAGTATTTCTGTTGATGGAGAGAGACGAGAATCAAGGGAAAAATATAAACGGTAATAGTTAAAATAATTAATGAGATATCGTGCCCCCAAAAGAATATTTATATATATATATATATATATATATATATATATATATATATATATATAGAGTGCGATGGGTAATTTTTCGCCATTTTATATTTTTAATTTCGCGCATGCGCGTTGATTATATTTGATTTTGTCGAAAGCACTGTGTGGTAGAGTCAGTTGGGCACTATCTGTTAGAAAAAGAGCACCATGAGGCAACTCACCAAAAACTTGGAAACGACATGCTGTACTGCTTGGCATTCGCAATGGAAGCTCTAACAGGACCATTTCAGAGTGTTTGGGTGTCAATTTGAGGAGAGTTCATATGATTTCGAATGAGTTGGATGAGTTTAAATTGTGATTACGAAGGAAAGACAGCTAGGGAAACTCACTTTGATAGTTCTGATGAAAAAGAACTCCCGAATTTTATGTTAATAGTCTCAGACTCAACATGGAGGTCTACATCAAGGGCCATGGGGTATTCTTGCCCTGGAGTCAAGAAATATTTCGAAATAAAATTCTCATATCATTTGATATTTTATTAAAGATAAAAGACATTTTTTTAGTTCCCATTCATATATATAGTCTCCAATCAAAGCGCGTGTTTTTTTATGATTTCACCTCAAACAAGGAAATAAAGCCACTAAGACGCAAGAGGTTACTCTGTGTTAGAGAATATGAGAACAATCTACTATTAATGAGAAAGAAAATTAAAAGAACACGCTAATGATGGACATTGCATATCAATTTTTGAAGATCAAAGTTGACTGGAAAGCGAGGAGACGAAAGAGAGTTCCACAAGCGAGAAGTGCGAGAAAAGAAACTGTTACCATAGAATTTACGTTTACATCTAGCCAGCTCAACTGTAAATTGATGAAAACTTGTTGCCAGTCAAGTACTGCGCTTAAATTCAAAAGGTCTAGGTACGATAGCCAAGAGCTCACTCGAACAATTACCATGAACATATTTATAAAAAAGACACAGGGAGGCCACCTTACGGCGATGGGAAAGTAACTGGAGCCGTGCCGCCAGATCAAGAATATTCTGAGAGAATATGAGAAATAATAATTCTATTAACGAGAGAAAACAACAGAAGAACAAGAATTAAGAAGACAGAAGTTAACGATTGACTTTGCATTGACACTTTTGAAGATCAAAGTTGACTTTGAAAGAGAATTAGAAGACTTTAGTGAGGGAAAGGACAATAAAAGAAGAGGAATTAAGAAGACAGAAGATAACGATTGATATTGCATTGAAATTTTTGAAGATCAAAGTTGACTGGAAAGTAAGAAGAGTGAAAGAGAATTAGAAGACTTTAGTGAGGGGAAAGGAGAATAAAAGAAGAGGAATTAAGAAGACAGAAGATAACGATTGACATTGCATTGAAATTTTTGAAGATCAAAGTTGACTGGAAAGTAAGAAGAGTGAAAGAGAATTAGAAGACTTTAGTGAGGGAAAAGGAGAATAAAAGAAGAGGAATTAAGAAGACAGAAGATAACGATTGATATTGCATTGAAATTTTGAAGATCAAAGTTGACTGAAAGAGAATTAGAAGACTTTTAGTGAGGGGAAAGGAGAATAAAAGAAGAGGAATTAAGAAGACAGAAGATAACGATTGACATTGCATTGAAATTTTTGAAGATCAAAGTTGACTGGAAAGTAAGAAGAGTGAAAGAGAATTAGAAGACTTTAGTGAGGGGAAAGGAGAATAAAAGAAGAGGAATTAAGAAGACAGAAGATAACGATTGACATTGCATTGAAATTTTTGAAGATCAAAGTTGACTGGAAAGTAAGAAGAGTGAAAGAGAATTAGAAGACTTTAGTGAGGGGAAAGGAGAATAAAAAGAAGAGGAATTAAGAAGACAGAAGATAACGATTGATATTGCATTGAAATTTTTGAAGATCAAAGTTGACTGGAAAGTAAGAAGAGTGAAAAGAAATTAGAAGACTTTAGTGAGGGGAAAGGAGAATAAAAGAAGAGGAATTAAGAAGACAGAAGATAACGATTGACATTGCATTGAAATTTTTGAAGATCAAAGTTGACTGGAAAGTAAGAAGAGTGAAAGAGAATTAGAAGACTTTAGTGAGGGAAAGGAGAATAAAAGAAGAGGAATTAAGAAGACAGAAGATAACGATTGACATTGCATTGAAATTTTGAAGATCAAAGTTTTTGAAAGAGAATTAGAAGACTTTAGTGAGGGGAAAGGACAATAAAAGAAGAGGAATTAAGAAGACAGAAGATAACGATTGATATTGCATTGAAATTTTTGAAGATCAAAGTTGACTGGAAAGTAAGAAGAGTGAAAAGAATTAGAAGACTTTAGTGAGGGGAAAGGACAATAAAAGAAGAGGAATTAAGAAGACAGAAGATAACGATTGACATTGCATTGAAATTTTTGAAGATCAAAGTTGACTGGAAAGTAAGAAGAGTGAAAGAGAATTAGAAGACTTTAGTGAGGGGAAAGGAGAATAAAGAAGAGGAATTAAGAAGACAATAGATAACGATTGACATTGCATTGAAATTTTTGAAGATCAAAGTTGACTGGAAAGTAAGAAGAGTGAAAGAGAATTAGAAGACTTTAGTGAGGGGAAAAGGAGAATAAAAGAAGAGGAATTAAGAAGACAGAAGATAACGATTGACATTGCATTGAAATTTTGAAGATCAAAGTTGACTGGAAATTGAAAGAGAATTAGAAGACTTTAGTGAGGGAAAGGAGAATAAAAGAAGAGGAATTAAGAAGACAGAAGATAACGATTGACATTGCATTGAAATTTTTGAAGATCAAAGTTGAGGGAAAGTAAGAAGAGTGAAAAGAGAATTAGAAACTTTAGTGAGGGGAAAGGAGAATAAAAGAAGAGGAATTAAGAAGACAGAAGATAACGATTGACATTGCATTGAAATTTTTGAAGATCAAAATTGACTGGAAAGTAAGAAGAGTGAAAGAGAATTAGAAGACTTTAGTGAGGGGAAAGGACAATAAAAGAAGAGGAATTAAGAAGACAGAAGATAACGATTGACATTGCATTGAAATTTTTGAAGATCAAAGTTGACTGGAAAGTAAGAAGAGTGAAAGAGAATTAGAAGACTTTAGTGAGGGGAAAGGACAATAAAAGAAGAGGAATTAAGAAGACAGAAGATAACGATTGACATTATATTTAAACTTTCGAATGCCAAAGATGACTGGAAGGCGAAAAGAGAATTCCACATAAAGGAAGTACGAGAAAGTAAATTCTTAGCATAAAACTTCTGGTTGCATCTAGCTATTTCGACCGTAAAATTCTTGCATGTTCACGTTGGTAGACGAACTAAATTATTGTTTAAAATAAAGAGAACATCAACTCAAATAGGTCTATCCACTATAAATAAGGTTTAAAGAGTTAAACATATATATATATATATATATATATATATATATATATATATATATATACACAAAAATCCATTACTTTAGAAATTGTGATTACGTTTAGAATAAGAAACTGTGAAGTATACGGCTTTGTTTGTTCGGCTTTCGTGGCCGAGTTGGTTAAAATAACATTGTGTCTAACGTCAGTATTTATTTCAAAAAAGGACGCATGTTCGAATCCTAGCGAGAGACGATATTTCCTTTAAGAGATTTTTCGAATGTTCAGGTCGGTAGACGAAATAAAGTATTGATTAAAATAAACAGAGAGTTTATTCAAACACGGGCATCCACTAAATATAACCGGTTAAAATTGCGTTAGGGGTCTACTTTGAAGGTGATTAGATGTACCGAATTGAAATGTGTTGAAGTTTACAATTTATAGTAACAGCGCCGATACATTTTGATCAAACCGCATATATACGACGTCTGCCTGAAAAGTTACGACTCATCACGTTCTTCGATGTGAGAGACATCGCCCACAATGAGTTCTTGCCACAGAGCTAGGAAGAGATCCGGCAGAATTTGCTTAGGTCATTGTATGACAAGAGATGATAATTGTGGCATGAAAAATTGTAGCTGCTTTACCACGATAATGAACGTGCTAACAAGGCCCTGAGTATCCGGCAGTTCCTGGCCGAAAGGAATATCGCCGTACAGGACCAACCTCCTTATTCACCTGATCTTGCTCCATGTGACTTTCTTCTTTTCTCCTAGCTCAAGGGAATCATCAAGGGGACAAGGTTTCAAAGGTGTAGATGCCATCAAGGGCCGTAACTACAGAGACGAAGGGTATCAGAGAAGAATCCTTCCAAACGTGGCAGAGGAGGATGGAAAAGCACATTAGACTCGAGCAGTTATTACTTTGAAGGGGAAACCATGTCGTTTGTTGTTTGCAATTGAAATATATTATTTACGACAGTGGTCCCTGTATTTTTCAGACAGAGCTCGTATGTATGTTATTAAAGGGAGACAATTCATCCATGATCTGTATCAAAAAGCTGTGCTTTTGTTTGGTTTGTTTTACGGCATATCGATGGGTTATTTAATGCCGACAAGATTTTTATTGCTGGTCATTTATTTTTTAAAATGTATTACAGGTAGTATTTTTTTTTTAATACTTTACCAGTAATAACTTTTCCCCCAAAATGTATTGCTGGTAATATATTTTTTTCAAAAATGTATTGCTGGTATTTTTACTATAAAAATCTATATTTATATTTTCATAGTGTTTTGACCCCTTTTGTGGGGGTTAACTATTTGCCCAGAGCAGGGACCCT